GAGAGTCGTACTGCATACCGCATTCGGCGGGGTGAGGGGAGAAACGACCCAGTACAAGGGGCTGTGGTCAACCCTGGCTGGACGACGGGTCAGCCCCAGTGAGATCCTAGGGGTGAAATGACATCCTGTTATCATAGCAGTAGGGCTGGGGGGAGGAAACCGGCCGGGTCCTTCCTGACGTATAGTTTGTTTTGGCATTTTGTTTTCCCCCTTTTGGAGGGGCTGAGAGAGAGGGTGAGGCGACGCAGGCAAGACAGCTCTGCACCGCCTTTCTTTTCCTTTTCCTTTGATTGGTGATTAAATTTAAAGTCCTGGGTCCGATATTGCTTTAGGGCAGGTGGAGGCCCTGCTGAAGCCAAACAGCTAAGTGATTGAGTTATCCCAGGAGGAAGTGCTTAAGGTGTAATAAGGCTATGAAGATCATCAAGCTCAAGAAACACAACATCATTGGGGTGCGGCTGAGAAGATCCGGTGACCTGCTGAAAGGTTGGCGCAAGGTTGGGGTGTAGGGGAGGTGGAGTCCCATGGACGGCCGCCAGGCGGACTCCCTGCCGAAGAGGACCCCTAGGTGGTTTGCCCCTCCCACTGGAACAGCATTCAAAGTCGTGGCAGGCGAGTCTGGGGGAGGCCACCCGGGTGATAAACATCTACCACCAGGCTTACAGGAAACCACAGGATGTCTGCTGCTGGCCGGCTGGACCAAAGCTGTGCGCGACAGACTATTCAAAGCCAGGCGGGCACACAGAGAAACTGAAAAGAAATCATAAGTGTCAGAGGGTACATAATGGACATAAAGGGGTGTTTTGCCTGTGTTAGGAGTTGATATCAAGACCTTCATTAGAGCAATGTCATGTGGAAGTGCAGATGAAGAAATTTAACAAGCAAGAGTAAGGCTGTTTTTTCTTATTTCCTACGGCCAGCCTGGCATGAATCCCACTAGTTCCAACATCTGAGAGAATAGGAGAGGTGGAAATCCCAGTCCCTTTGACAAAGAGGGCTAAGGAAGGGAAGACAGGGAGAAAGGGACATGCCAGGATAGGCAACCGGGTTTTGTAAAAATAAATAAATATTTTCATGTATATTTTAACATGAAAGCTGTTGGGGGGGAGGGGGGAGGGTCTGTGACTGAATGCTTTTTTCTGTATGCAAGTTGCCATTCTCATCTAAATCTGTATAGTCTGTGTGATTTTTTTTTTTCTACCACTGGTATAATTGTGTGTACATATTGTGTGAAGAGCCAACCTACAGGTAAGATGTTCATCATGTGAAACAAACTGCATTAGGACTCACAGCTGAGCAGCAAAGTTTTCGGCTTTTGACTTTGTACCTGTTACATATTTATGGAATGCAAATGAAGTTATTTGTTGTTTTTGTATATAGCATATACAGGCAAAACTGTTCCCCATTATCATTTCATGTTTAAAAAAGTGAATAAAACTGAATGTTGCATGTAGGTGATGACCTGACACAAGCCTACATTAGACAGTGACAGGCTAGTATACTAGGAGTTAATGCTTATGAAGCAGGTAATCATTGTAAGCCTGATTCAGGTGCAGTTCCAGAAAGAGCCCAGAATATTGTGTAGCTATGAAGTATCAAGTCAAATGTAACTTCTGACATCCAGAGCTGAATTTAGATTGCTTAAATTCCAAAACAGATTGTAAAAAGCATACGCCTTAATTAGAATTGCTATCTGACACATGTAAATGAAGTAAGAGACCTCATGCCATATGTTGGCAGACACTGTCCATAGGTATCTGAAATAAAAACTGGCAGAGAGAAATACCACTCTTTATCCAAATAAAGGAAGAATGGTGCAATAATATAGTGTCGGGTACACAAGAATGCTTAGGTATAGGGGAAAGATTGTGAGAAATAACCTCACTTTAATGTGGGCATTCTGAAACTTGTAACATAAGGGCTATTATTTTCACATTATCTGCTAACACTACTGTATACCTCTGGTGATGGGCCATACACAATTTGACGCCACATGTCAGACCTGAGGGAGAAGTTTAAACAGTCAACAGAATGCCGTTAGATGCTAACAGTTGTTTTGTGCAAAATGTGTCTTTTTGGTGAACTAGGCTTTGAATGTATTTTTCAGTGATTGCTCAGTAATGCTTTCAGGGTAATCACCAGGCTTCTCTACCACCCAGTTCCAGATCCATATTTTGCCAGTTTGGATGTTCCCTTCAGATTATTTTTTTTCTAACTTGTGACACACACACTTAAAAATGGCACCCAAGTCTAGTAACTAGGACAACGGTGCCAATCTTAGCATTTTTAATTGTAAATCTTATGATACCTGTTCTTTCTCCTAACACTTTTTAGCATCTCCATTTATGTGATTCTAACGACTGGCTTTTTTACTTTCTTTTTTTTAAATTTTGGGTTTTTTTGAATGAAAATGACTAGATTTTTTTTGTTGGGGAGAAAAGCTGGAAACATGATTCTGAAAGGCTCAATGCACCAATGGCAAAGAAAACGAATAAAACATTAGAGAACGTATTTTTTTTAAAAAGAAAATCATGTTACTCACCTAGCATCCTGAGGCTGATTTAAAGGGTGTATGAATGGTGGCTGCTGCTGCCCAGGGTGCAAAAATTACTTGTTATGCCTGTGATAAAATCTCATAACTTTGGGGCCTTCCTCTTAATCGTCTAGTTCAGTGGGGGGGAGGGGCAGTCTTTTTGGTAGGTGTGCCACAAGGTGAGCCCTGTGCCCTACCTGAGAGCCACTCCAATACCCTGCTTGATGTGTTGCTCTGCTTTTGCTCCCTGCTCTATCTGTCTGTGTTCCTTGCTCTCTTGCCAGTTTGACATGTGCTACACTCAGAGACTACCTGTACCACTTCTGGCACGTGTGCCGCTGGTTGGCTTCCCCTGGGCTAGTGTTTGGCATCAACTGTCATGGATACGATTTCCTTGTAGTGCAGACATCTGAGAAACTCTCAATGAATTTCTTCGTGCAGACTGTACCAGGAAAGCAGGATTTGGTTCCTCCTCTGTGAGATCATTATCTCAATCCCTTGGAGGTAATGAGGCTCTATAATGAGGCAAAATTGAAAAAAGAAAAATTTTAACAGAAGCAACTTAATTTGGTGGTGGCTTTTTTTCCTTTTGAAGTGTTTGAACAATAACTTTTATCATAAGATAGCTTCCCCTACATGCTTGTGCAATGAAATCATAATCTAATAAATTTTCAAAATCTTTTTGTTTCTGTAGAGCTGTGTATGAATATTATGGCCAGGATTGGGTTGGTGAAGATGAAGAATTGAGAAGGCATACCTTTGTTTAAATGCAAATGCCTCCTCACAGTGAGTACGGTTAGCAAGGGAAATTATTTTAAACAAATGAAAGTTAAATAGATATTTGTTTAAGTCTGATTACATTATTTTGCCAGTGTGCAATACCCCTTTCAACTAAAACATAATCCAGTTGGGGATTTATTTTTAAATTGGCAATCAGAAATGAGAGGCATTCAAGGTATCCCTTCAAAGTAGTCAGTGGGAGAAAGTAAA